TATCACATACGCTTTGTTGATACTGTGATGGAACTTCGATAGAAAAATTATGGATCGATGTTGTGAACATAATCCGTTTGATAATTAAATTTTCTTCGGTTATAATAATTGCTATTTCATATAATCCTTCAGATTTTAATGAGCAATTCGTAACACGGCCACAAGTTTCTTTGTTGCCAAGAATAAACGTACTATTAGCGAACTTGCTGATCTGTCAATTGAAAGAGAAACATCAAACATATTTTGTTTTAAAGATATATGCTACCAAGATTGTAATTATATGATGTATGTTGCAATAAACTTTTTACTTAGCTATATACGTAAAACAAATCTCTCGCTGTTCTAACAGCTGGACTTGTTTCTTTATTATTTTATTATTACTGAAAGTTTATTATTTTCTTAAACATTCTAAAAGTATAACATTTACGCGTATTGTAATTGTATGTACATACCGAACCTTCAGCGGCTTGCATCCAAGCATTTTTATCCATGTTTATTTCCGCTTGTAGTATCTCGGGCACTTCTGAATATTGCTCGCAAAAGTTACATCCTTTCACCAGAATATGCATCACGCTGTTGCGCGTCTCATTCACGACCGGCGGTATACTTATTGAAATCGTCGAATTAGGTTCCTGCATCGTGATATTTACGTTGCCATCGAAATCTATGGCGGTAGGTGTTTGAACTATCACGGTATTAACTGCGCTAACTTTATCCGTAACTGTCACAGCTTGAATGTGGATGTGATATAACGTTGATGGGAACAAATATAATTGCTTGTTATAATAACGCATGTAATGTGTCACCGTATACTTCTGCATCTTAAAAACCGATGGTTGGAAAACACGCATCGTCAGATTTGAAGAAATTTCTTCTAACCAGATGTTAAAATTTTGTAAATGACTACCTGTCTTCCAAGGATGATTCCATCTTACATCAACTATGCTGTTGTTGTTGATTGTAAAAGTATAATTCTCAGGTGTATCCGGTACTGAAAAATTATGATTGTTATTTTTATCTAGTTAGAGCAAAAATTAGCATAATTTTTAATATATGCGTAATTACATAAACTTATATATTGTTCATGATTTCTTCTAATTTCAATTAAATAATAATGATAATGATGACTTTTTGTTAGCATTTGAATGATATAAAAAGTGTTCATAGCATGAATGTATTAGTTGAAACGCAAAAATAGTAAAATATTATTATGTATAAAAATTAGAATTTTAACTGCAGTCTACGTTTAATTTGAAACGCATTTAAAAATTTACAATAAACTGACAGCTTTTCAAGTTTTATTGAACATAAAATCTTACTTGTATTATTCAACATTGCTTTAGTAACATTAACGGGAACACTGGGTTGAGTAACATTTATATTGTAGGTTAAAATCTGTAAAGTAAATTTAATATTATATTAATTTTATTTATGTAAAATTTATTAAATTTTATATTATTTTTGTCTTCTATATTACACAGAATAATAAAGACGCGCGCGCGATGTTATTATGTAGAGATGTTAAAAGTATTAGTTTCTTACTTGAATTTGAAAATTTGTAGACCAGTTTTTTACAGAACCGCAAATGTAATCGTTCCACAAATCACAGCTTTTATTTACTTGAACGGAAAAGTTTTGGCAAGGTGTCCTATAATACATGTCACATATTCGAATGACATAATAATCCAACTTTCCATTGAAAGGTGGAAGTGGGCTTTGCCATCTCAAATATATCGTCGCGGGTGTATGGCGAGTATCAATCTCCACAACATCCAGATTAGTTATTTGAGGCGGAGCTATTGTTTCGATAACACTTTTGCTTTGTTTAAATTTGTAAAAAGAATTTATCATACAATTTGAGAGAAATTCAAATTTTACCTGCTGGTGGAGTTTCAAATTCATATTTCTGAAAAGCGGAAGCATTTTCTGAGCTCTTCCAATCTCTTATTACGTAAACTTTTGCCACGTATCGTTCAGCACCGTGAAGTTGCGGTATTATGTGTTTTAAATCATAAAAATAGGATTTTGTCCAATCTGTAAAACTAAAATTTTTCACAAGATCACTAATACCGTATATTTTTATTTTAGCCTTTAATGGTCCTGTAATCGTTGTGCAATCTTCAGGTATGGTCCATGATAATATCTGCCCTTGTAATATCAACTGGCTAAAGATTTCCGTCGGTATATCTATAAAATTGATCTTATTATTTTATACAATAAAATTTTGTATAAATATTTATGTATATGTCAATTATTTCACGTAATTTTACGATTAATATCAGATATATATAATATACAATAACATTATTATTAAGAAAAAATATATTGTCTTTGAATTTAATAATAATTTTTAATTATTTTTTATTCAAATAGCTTGCGATTCTTATATGACTGTATTAAAAATATAATAATCTAAATTGTAAATGTTTTAATGCAAATATAACATTAATAAAAATTAATAAATAATAGTTTAAAAGATTAATTTATTATATTTTACATGAAGCAACAATGATATATTAGTAATAAATGATAGGAATGTGCATATACCGGATTCATTTGTCTGGAAAATTGTCTCTATTGCTGTGCTGCCATAGTTCGAATTGAAAGCTGTAACACTGACGCTGTAATACGCATACGGATGGAAATTCGAAATAGTGATAGTTGTGTTTTTTGTAGATATTTCGATAATGTGATTATTTGGTGAAGGTAATTCCATGTCCATACAACCGATGTATGTTTTAACCTAGTATTAAAAATAATATACATGTATGTACAATACATTCAAAGCTCGTTAAGAATAGAAACACGTAATATTAAATCAAAATTGTCTTACATATATGTATAATAAGCTCCATCCATATATGTGTAAGTATATATTTATGTGTAAACATTTTTACCTTTACAGTTACGTCGTATCGCACTATTTCTCCATTTGGTAGACTTGGTTCCTGCCACATTAGAGTAATATTATCAGAGTGATTAATTGTGGTAACTTGTTCGCTGGATTGCGACATTGCTCGAAAATTTAACACTGGAGTTGGTACTGTTGATATTTGTGAAATATATTTGCAGCAGATAAATAAGTTGAATTTTATTCATATGTAAATTAACTTCTTAGCATATGTACTCTTAATCAAACTTACCGCCCTCATGCGTGCGTATTTCCTGGGAAAATAGTTTTAAATATTTACGAAATATGATTACGTTGTATAAAGTGTACGGTTTTAAAGATGACACTTCATAAGGAAAATGCATAGCTGATTCATTAACGACATGCACGACGGTATTAGTATGTTGCACTTCCAGACGATACCAGTTTGGCGGACACGATTGCTGGCGTAGGGAAACCTAAGATTATCGAAAGTTTGTTTGAAAGAATTCGGAATTAAACGTACAGAAAGTAATTAACAAAATATCTACATACATTTTCGTTGATTTGCCAGTTAATTGTTAGGTTTGTTTCCCCGAGCGTTATATCGAAGAGTAGAATCGCTAAAAGATTACAGAAAACTTTATACAATGCACACAAAGGTTTATAAAAAAGCTAACATGCTGATTAGAAGTTTACTAGCACTAAAAGTATAAATAATAATTTTGTTTTTGCGTGTATAATAGGACACTTTACATATGTAGATACTTTATTCTTTGTATATTATTATTAATCGTATTATGGAAAATTTAAACATCTGCGTTATTCTGCATTCAAAATACAAACCAAAAAAAAATATTATGTGGTAATTTAAAAATTTATAATATATTTGATTATATTATATCATATTTATAAAAAAACATTACATCAAAAATCATTTTTAAAAGGCATTATATTGTATTTTGCACAGTTTTAATTAATATTGTCTTACGAATGCAATCAGTCTCGACACTATGCCAATCGCTGTATACTGTTGATTTTTCAATTTGTAAGCCATATTTGATAAGATAAGTGGTACCAATTTCTAAATCTGCAAAATTTCCTATTAAATGCGTTGTATTTGGAAATATTCTATTCCAGGATTTCTGAACATAATAATTATTAAATTGTCCCTGTAAGAAATAAATTATAAAATTGCTTACAGCTCTTTATTGCCGTTGAGTCGATTTTAGACATAAAAGCTTTTAAGATTCTTGTCAAGTTGTTGCTCCTTTTTTTTCAAAAGATATTACTTCGGAAATATTAACGTTGCAAATTTTACTTAATTATTAACAAGTAAAGAAATAGTTATTACTATCCAGAATATTAATAAAGCATAATATTCAACGTTATTTACTTGAATGATAAAGGAATAAAAAATTGTTGCTTCCTCATATTCGTCTTTCCATGTCATAGGAATTGTGACTTGAACACTCGTCTGGTTTGTATAGTTAGTAACAAGTGCCACTGATGTGTCTATGCCTTAAAAAATCAATTTATTTTTTATTAGCATATAGTTCATTATGCTTTATCATAATAATAAATAAATATTTATCTTTAAGTGTAAGAGTAACATACTATGTGTTGTTAAAAATGTTTACCAGTATGACACAAAGGTGGTATGTATAATTTTTTTGTATTCTTGCATCCTCCATAACAAAAACCAGTTATTTTGTTACAAAAATTGCCCTCGTGATCTATTTCTTTAGCGCACGAGCCGCATGATTTATTGCAATTATGACCATATTTGTTTAATCCACAAGCTGAAAAAAACAATTGATGATATTAAATACTTAAAATACAATTAATATTATTTATACATTTAATATTAAATATACAAGTTTTGTGTAAACAACAAATAACAAATTTTATAGTATTAGGTATATGAATATTACTCACTGTCAGTACATTCAGATCCTATAAAACCAGGAGGGCACGTGCAACCGTTTTTGTAACAGATTACAACACTCCTGCAGGACGCGCGATAATCAAACATAAAATTGTTTTCGCAAGATATCGAACATCTCGGTCCGATCATTGAAGTATGATTATTACAATTAGTATCATCTGAGAGAGACAATATAATTTTATTTGTTTCAAAATAATTTTACTTACGTGGCATATTATTTGCATAAAGATTACAAACAAAAATATATTATATTTATTTATAAATTATATCATAATAGAACTATTTAGTTGCATCTATTTACCATCTTTTATATTGTTTCTAACGGAAGATGCAGAACTCACGATGGTATGTTCATCATAAAACAATTTTTGACACGTCATATTTGGCCAAACATAGTTATTTGATCCCACTTTAGAAGTAAATATCCGTTTCCAATATTCTATAAAATAAATAAATAAATTTTATAAAAAACAAAATACTTTTTGCCAGATGTTATTTAAAAATAATGAACAAATATGCAAAGCGCAGGAAGTTAACATTTACGAATATTCCAGACAGAACTTGAGGTTAAAAAAATAAAAGCTTTCGTACCATTTGGACATTGTTGAACATTCGCTATGGCCCACAACGGATTGGCGCTAGACATGTTGAGTTTAGGAATTAATTGGATTACCACGCTTTTAGTCGTTGGAAGATTTTTCTCGATTTTAACAGATTGCCATGTAGGTAAACCATAAATCGCAGTCTTCGATGAGCCTTTTGCTGTTACCATTTCCAACACTTCATTACTTGTGGAATCACGTAGGAATACATGTGCATCGCACTCTGGGCAAAGACCAATGAACATTTGTATGCATATCGTTGTATCGTTGAGTTTAAAGATGGGGCTTGTTAAAGTTGCACCCTCGATAGTTGTATGCAGAAAATGGTCTGAAACACATATTTCTAAATAAATTTTCTTTTATCTTATTGTTCTATATGAAACTATCTTAATTGACTAAAAGTTTGAAATTTTACTTACATAGGTGAAAGCGAAGTAACATACTTGGATTGCTTCGAATGAATACTTGATAATCTATGTGCGGAAGAATTTCGGATAATTTACGTTCTTCTTTGTCCACATATGTCATAATCATTTTATCAGTATCGTAAACGGTAATATTTCGAATTGCAGAATCCCACGTAATTACAAAAGATCGCCATTCAGTTGTGGACAATGGTTTATGCTATATTAATTGTTAGTTTTTTATTTGATGTCAATTTCCGCGAATTTAAATTTCTTAATTTTATCCTATTCTTAAGCTAGTGAAAATGTGTACAGAGTATTATAAAGTTAAACAATCAAACTTTGCCAGTATGAGTTCACGTTTATATGTCAACTCGTAGTTAACTCATCGTCTCTATGTTCGATATTCTTGTAATAAATAATTTTTGAATTAAGTATTTTTAGTCTTATATTTATATTATATAACATTTTGTTTTTATGTCTGTGAAACATATTGGCAAAATTAGATATTTTTAGAATACATGATGTTTAACACATATTTGTGTATATAAAAGTGCGATCTTAATTAGGAAAATACATATATCTTACTCTAAATTCAACTTGATTTTGTGCACATTTTGAATTTTGCACGGTATATTGTCCGGGTACAGGCACTCCTCTTGTGCATTTTCGTATAACAGATAACGTGTTTTTCCACCCGCCTATTACGATCCAATAACAAAAATCTGTCCTATAATTTTTACTATTACAAAGAAATATATATACATCACTGGATGCACGAACCGAAAACGAAAGCGCTGTTGCGGAAGTTGGTAAAGAATCAAATGCTATACGATCATATACATTTTTATTTGAATACTCTGTAAATTCTGAAAAGTTTAAAACACATGAAGTAATACTATAAATATATGCGTGATTACCATCGATATGCAATGTATGATATTGTAATTGTAAATATCGTAATATTTTTCATATTAACATATTGCAAGATTTTTACCTTCCCATCGTTCATCAAATACTGGAGCCATAGGTGTCTTAAAGGAGTATGTAATATTCCAGTATTGTTTTGTCCATGAGTTTAAACAATCTTCGTTAGCGTTCATTTTACAGTTTATGTTTTCTTTATTGTTGAATTTATTTTTATGCGATAAGACTGAAATAATTACGTGTCTATGATAAATTTATTATCAAGAGTGATGTGATAAAAAATTGCTTTGCAAATAGATAATTAATAAATTAACTATATATTATCAAAACTTTAATATGCAATAAAATTTTAGTATACTTGTGATAATAAAAAATGTTTTACCAAGCATATTTATTTAAACATATTTACTCTGCTGCTACGAAGCTATAAAAATATTTTGTTTTTTGTAACAACTTACCGATTTGGTACATTTGTGAAATTAATTCGTCATTCCATATAAGAGCGCTACCATCATTTTCTGTGAGACATGCTACTTGTCTTCTGTGATCCAATGTTTTGCGTAATACAATTACATTTCCAAAAATATGTAGCATTTGATCCACAAGAAGAAAAAAGATTAACGCAGCGTTTATTGTTTTCTTCATCATTAACAAACACATGTGTATAAATCTAACAATTATCAAAAATTATATTAATGAAGTAATACGGTAAAATAAAAACTAAAACATATTAACTTGTTTCATATTGTCAGTAAAGTCTTGATGCCAAGTCACTGTATAGCAATTTTGCATATCGAATACATATAAATGAATCACTTATGAACAAATCACGATCTTTTATTTGAAAGAAACAGCACTTCAATCATGACAATTCGAATTATACAAACAACGCAATACGAGTGAATTAAAATTGCTTTAGAGCAATTTGTGTTATTTTTGTTTTGTAATTCAAACCGTTGGACAGTGGCGATTCCAAACGTTAACTGACTGACGGACTGGTTGACAGGAAGTCGATCTCAAGAGAATTCGTGATAATAATATATCTGCTATTTGCTTCTAGTGAATCAGCGATAACAAGTATCATCATTAATCAGTTCACAATCAACGCATACTGAAAAAAAAATGGTGTTCGTAGCATCAATGAATGACATTCATTGACTTAAAATTTATTGATACCATGAACTTTTAATTGACGAATATGATATTGAATATTTTTCATGAACCAATAATTGGATTCATTAATATAACAAATCACTGTTTCTTAATATACTGTATTTGAATGTATCATAACCGAATTAAATCAATGAAAAAATTCATTCACTCACTGAACGTGTTCAGTAAAATCAATAAACTCGTTCATTAAATGTGTACTTGTGGTGGAATTTACCACAGGCGGGCCGGCACGGGATGAGTAAGGTTGAAATATTCTCAATGTTCTCTTTTGTGCAATAACGTTTATTGCGAGAAAGATGAAATCTGAGAAATCCCGATTGTGAGTTCGGTCGTCCGCGTGTTCTTCGTTTCTTCGCAGAGTGTACTCTCAAGCAATAGCTTATCGCTCTCTAATTCTCAGCATTTTTATACATGTCTGATCGTTATTACATCCCTACCATCGAAACAAGAGCCTATCAGATCTCGCTATTCTTTCGAATCCGACTCGTTATGGCCCGACGACAAGAATCACCGTTTTTACGTTTGATTACATGATATCTCTGCGTGATAATCTTTTTCAAGGCAAACATAACAAATACAATATCGCTCGGGATCGTCAAGACGGATTTTAATGAGTATATAATATATATATATATATATATAAATGCCTACATACTATAAAATTTTATATCATCAAAAAATGTTTTCACCATCTTTTTATAGAACATATTTATTTTTAGAATTATTATTTATAAAACAATTATGTTTTTTGGTACTAGAAATGCTCTTGTTATAAAATGCAATTGAAACGAAAGCGCAATACAATTGCTTGAGACACTATTACTAACGTATTACAATACTTACTGAATACTTACTGAAAAAATGCAAGCAAATACGCTCTCGAACGGAAACGAAACAAAATGAACGTCGGTACTCATAGTAATTAATTAAACTATTATAAATATTAAACAGTGTTGAATGTGTTCCCTCTTAATTGTGCAATTAGTATAGAAATATATAAATAAAACAAAAAAAAAAACGTTTTTTTAGATATATTGTGATGTCGATTTGGAAGACACACAAGATTTCGAGTTTTTCTCTAGGATTTTTTCCCGAGATTTTCTTTGCTAGATCAAGGATGTGTTTAAGAAAGAAAGTGCAAGAGTGTTAATGTAGTTTTATTTTATTTCCCTATAAATAAACTTTCTCCTATAAATAAGTAATACTTAAAAAAAAAATATAACACTTGATAGAGCCGAATGAAATGGGTAATAGCGTTAGTCAAATAAATGTTATATCTATGTATCTATTATATAATGTATTTCCACATAGTTTATTTCTTACAAAATAATCCTTATTTCATAAAAAATATACTGCTAAATCGGTAATCTAAAATCTACATACGATTTTAAGGCATCATTTATACAACTCCAAGTTATTTTATATGTTATAGCTCATTAACAAGCATACTATAATTTTAAAAAATATAGTCAATATAATCAATAACTCTGTAATTATTCATATTTGTATTTAATATGAATCGTACTTCAATCGTACGTATCCCGCGTTGGATGGATAAGATATAAGAATAAATCTAAGGAAGATATGTGTGTGCACACATCAGAAATATATTAATTTCTGAATTTTAATAAAATATAAGTTTTTAGTTAAATATAGAATATAAAAGATATAAAGGTTTATATAAACGATTCATAATATTTTACGATATTTTTACATTATCTTTTCTTTAAACGACAATTCCAAAATAAATGTGACTATAAATGTGTTTAACGGTCGCGTAGTGAACGAGTATTATTGTAGGGGAGCTAAGGGGAAAATCGTGGTATCCAAGAATGCACTCGTCTATGACGTCCGAGGCTACATCTCGGTTTTAAAAGAGCCAAAAGAGCCAGACCGGCGCCTAAGACCGATACGCCGCACAAGGCACCGGCCGTGATGTCGTGAAGAGGTGTGCCTTCCTTCGGGGACTTAGCGGCGAGCAACAGGAGACCGGCACAGCTCAATGCCGATAGTCCAGCCAGACCAAGTCCTGTCCAGGTTCTCCGTAGACTTCTGCATGCACCCGCTAATGCGCAGCAGGCACCGCAGCCAACTGCGCTATCGAAGTAGTATCTAAAAAGTCGCGTTTTCATTGTTATAAATACTAAAAATATTCAATATTCAATTATTTATTATATATAATTAGCATTTAATTATTTCCAATTAATTTTCATTATTTTATATTTATTTCTGAAGAATCTCCTGAAAAGTTTTCATCAATTCGATGAATATGACAGTGAATATTGTAATTTCTCAGCTGCGAAATTCTTTCTTTAAAGACGTCAAGAACATAAAGCGTTAAAAAATGTTACCTTCTTCCTTGCGACCAAGATAGATACAGAGCTAGACCAGACGTCAGAACACCGACCAGCATCAATAGAATCGGTATGCTCCTTTTGTCGCTTTTTTCCATACCGCTCGCCAAAGTCGTATTCGCGTCGCTGTTGGGCGGAGATAACGGCGGTACCTAAGCAAAATCGCATCTCCGTTAAATAACTGACAGCGAGTGCTTTTTGTTGTTATTATTCTGCTTAATGCCATATCACTTACGACGGCGGTACGAGCCATGAATGCGCTTTCCACACTTTGATAGTTCTTCTGATCGGCGGGCATCACCTGATATCTAGGCGATCCGGACATCATCGGCATCGACTCCAGCCCGCTCTCTGTGTAAGCGTAGCGAGGCGGCGGCTCGCTGTGACTCATGTTCATTAAATCTACCGGAGCGGTGCCTACGTAACGAAGCCGGCCGCAATTACTGGCTGGACAAACATCCTGTCGGGATGAGTTCTCCAGCAGAGGAAGACATCTACGAGCTGACGATTCCTTGTTAGGCGTTGAAGTCTGAGGTCCTGTAGGTGAGAAACCTCGGCCCTGAGGTGTTCCTTGAGGAGTTGTGCGCGTCGGACTGAAGGTACGTCCTGTGCGAATGTTTCGAAGAGAAATATTTTTTTTTTTTGTTCATTGAAATATGATGAGCAATATATCTAGAATCTAAATAAGATGATATTTTCGAATTTATGCTAATTTTTTGATGGATTAGTTAATGCTTAAGCAACTTATTTATTATTGTATGCACAATTAAAAAGGAAGACAATGGAAATAATAAATAATAAGTGAAAGAATGAATGAAGAATAAAATAATAAGTATCGAACCATTTGGAGATCCGCCGGGAGTGAACGCTCTTCTTTGCGGTGTGCTAGTTTGATTGAAAGACTGTTGTCTCTTCGGCGACAATGTCCTCTCTTCGGATCTAGATCGTTTTCTAGGCGTGGATAATATCTCGTGCAGTTTCTGCGTGGCTAAATTGTTTTTCGGCGATACCGAGAATTCTTGCATATTTCTGTCGGGAAGCGCCGGCGGAATGTCTTCTTGCAAGGGCACTCTGGCGTAACGGCCTGTTGCGAATTATGCGATCGTATTTTAACAGACATTTCATGCGCTTACTGTTTATCGCACTTGCTTCTTCGCACTCCGCATTAGAGAGTGGAAGAATTTTTATCGAAAGAGTTACATATGAAAAAAATATGGAAGTGTGATAATCACCTTGCGGCGTGTTGATATGCCGCGGTGCTGATTTCGCGTTGCTCCATTGCGAGCCGTCGTCCTGATAATCCTGGTCACCCGGTATAAGCGCGTATCTGCCGGCATTGCCGCGGCGCGTCTGCGGCCCTCCTCGATCGTCTTGGTTGGCCGCCGGTGCGGAACGTTGTTGCACCTGTTGGTGCGGAATGAAGTCGTACCGCGACGAGCCCCGGCGCTGCAACTGGCTCCTCTCCGCCTCGTCCTGCTGTATGTATTCGTAGCGCGAGGAGGACTGGTTGTAAGTCACGCGAGGCTCCTCCGCCGGAAGGCTCGAGTACCTTCTGTGCGCTGGTGCTCTGTTATCTTCCAGATAACAATATTGGTCCCGCGACTCGCACACATCCAACGTCGCCTCCGGCGGAGCCTGAAAGGCCGGATTGCTCTGACCCGCGGCGTGACATTGCAATTGCAACGGCGGCGGAGGCGGCGGTAAATCGTCGCTTCCTTGAAACTGCTGCGGCGGCGGCGGTAGGTCGTTAACACGATCGTCCGGTATGTACTCCGATTGGCGACAGAACGATGGATTCGTGTAACAATGAACCGGCGCCGGTTGAGGTACTTGAGCCATGATTATCGCTCTCGCATCAGACGATCTGTATTTTTGCGCACTCGATGAATAAGAAGGGCGATTTCACCGTGCGATCTTCGCGATGAGCAAAAATTTGCCAAATTTGCAAATTGCTCGATCGAGGAAGAAACTAAGCTGCGCTGTCAAGTTTTAGTCTGGTTTGGGGGAATGAATTTGGCATTGACTCACAGAGACAAATTGAGAGTTAAACTATCCAGTCGGAGACGTTATTAGATAAATGAGCGCGCACTGTATATGCACATAAACGAAGTTTGAAGGACTTTTTTTCACGAATTTCTGCGACTCCTTCAAAATGAATTTCTCTTCAAATCGCACGCGCGTTTTTCTCTGCGCACTTTATTGATAAAAATTTATTTGAACTTCTCCGAAAACACAATTCACAATCAGTTATAGAAATGTCAGATTTTATTTTATGAACTTTTTCTTTGCACGCAAACGACAATTTTTCTGTTGTTAGAAGAACTCATCGAATTTCATAAGCCATTTACAAATCTCTGATAGTTTATCTTTCCAAGATCACAAACACATATGCTTACTTCGTCGCGCGTTGAACTTTTCAGACAATAATTGAATTAAAATAAAATTCCAAAATGATCAAAATTTAAGATCGATTGACAAGAATCACTAACATGCTGCTGACGTAAACAGGAGATTGCCAAGTTTCCAATGCAAAGTTCACTATTTTTATTGGCGCTGAGGCAATTTCGTCTGTTAATCTGCACAGCTTTTTACACATCTTTCTGTACAACTTTCGAACAACGCTCCGATATTTCGAAGTAATTTAGCCTTTCACGTGTTTTTTAAAACTTGCATTATCTTACACAATGAATTTCTGATTGATCACGCAATTTCTTCATAATTATTAAATAACCAAGAGCTTCCTCCGACCAAAACAAAGATGCACTTACAACAAATTCACTTGTATAAGCGTCAAAAATGTGTTCGTAATTTTTTATTTAAAATTTCACAATGAAACTGATATTTATTTACGAAATAATAAAGCTAAGAATTAATTAATTCATGACGGAATATCGTAAGAATGTCCAAGATGCGCATTCTTTCGTTGACCACACGATGCGCTCGCGACCGTTGCCTTCCATAAACTGCCTCGTGAGTTCCCTTAACAGCAGATGCGCAAAGGGCGTTTCTCCATACGTTCCCTTGCGTATCTGTGTATACGCGCTTGCTCGGGGGGTTGTCACGGGGTTTCACGTAATACGGGCCCGGTGTCCTTTTGCGAAGTGGGGGCCCTGCGACTACAGTGTATTCCGCTTAAGATTTCGACCGTTGCTTCTGGGTCGCGAAACTTTTGTGACGGAGTAATTTAAACTTTAAATGCCTGCCAAAGAATACGCTTATTTCATTGTAGTAAACTGTAAGATTCGGGATTGATATGAATGGAAAACACATACTCGTAATGTTCACGAGCGTTTTATTAAATTATTTTTGCTTTTCTTAATGATAAACATTTCTCTTTTCGATAAAAAAAAACTTTCCGCTAAAAGATGCATCGTTGAAAATAAATATTAATATGATTGTGATGCTTTCGTCAGAAATTTACGTATAGCATAGTCACTTTTAGTATTAATTTTGAACTATTTTGCTTTAAATTCTACTTTTGACATGGGTATAGATTTTTTATTCCGTAATTAGTAAAAAATTATATAACTATGTACATATAAAGTAAAAAAAAATATTTTTTAACGGATTAAATAAATAAATGTACAATATACCATATATTGCATTCGATTGTGCTTCTGACCAGATGGAAAGAACTTAGGGTGAGGATACTATAGTCGATTTTCTGGGCAGCTGCCGCGACCGTTGAGACGCGTGCCCCGATAGTAACAGCTGCTCCAACACGTATGCCTCTCGGTCGCAAACAGGTCATTTATCTCGCTCCCACTCGCCGTACACCGGATATGTGTATCTCGCACTCTTACGCATACCAATATGTTAACGGCCGAAAAGTCACTTTAATGAAAGGACTCGAAACAAGCGCGCGTGGCCCGACGGGAGCGCCTAAGCGCGCTTTTTTTTCGGATCTTTTTACAAACGAACATTCGCGTGAAAGTGCAAAGAAAAAGCGGCGATATCGTGCGCGATATAGAAACCAGATCTCGATTGATATATTTTCATGATAAAACTGATAATCGAATCGCGCCGCGTGCGCGACTTCCAATCGAATCGCAACTTTTCTGACAATTGCTGCTTTCAAGAAAGTTTTACAGCAACGCTTTTTTCATTTCTTTATTATTTTATATAAATGTTATATAATTTCAGAAAATTTGTTTATCTTAAGTAATATGCAAGTGAGAAACGGTGTCTATTTAACATCTGTTTTCCGAATCAACTCGTCTTTATAGCATCTATCGCAAATAGATCTATATATTATCTCTTATGATTGTAATAGTTTGAAATCAACAAGTTAGATATAGTGCTTATTCCGAGGGTTGCTATCAGGCACATGCAAAGCGAGCATCCATGTTCAACTGTGCTTCAATGCACGCACGCTTTCCGGCTTGTTCCACATGCAACGATCGCGCAGATCGCGGTTATCCCTTTGTTGCGGGATCATGCAAAATAGAATTTGATTTCTCTTGAATGCCTCTAAAACGCGACAATCATCCGCTCGAGCGAGTTCGAGCGATCTTGTCGATCTTACCGGAAGTTCGATGTTCCTGGCACGCTCAATCCTCTGGAAAGCGCATCATAATTTCCGCACGAACGATTTATCGACGGTGGAGTGATTTTGCTACATCGTGAAAGTCCCTTCCCGTTCTTGCAAGATGCAAGAAGATTGAGATGCATACCGTTACGCTGCAGCGTGCGGTTGATCCGTCGCAGCCACGCTGAAAGCCACACTTTCTCGATCGTCCTCCTAATTACACAACGGCGCTAATAACGATGCTCCTGTTAGCATTTCCCATTAGGCAATCGTAGCGCCGTCTTTATGCATCTGTAATCGCTCTCGTGAAGAAATCAAAAGAAATAGACGAGGTAATCATACAATTCCACCGTCTCTCGTCTTCTCGCAAGAGTATACTTGAAACTCATTAAAGTTTATAACGACTGAAAATTATATTCTCTAGACATTACTTTATACCGTCTTCATTCATAAATTATATGAATTATATCATCTTGCTGCGGAAACGATTCTGCAGCAATATTTTCTATGATTTTTAAAATATTCAAATTGATAGTGTTGCATTTGCTCTCTGCGCAAAGTTAAAATCTCTTTGATTAATTGTTTGCGTTATTAAGTACATCTAACGTTTTCTTGAACAATTTTTTTGGTACGTTTTTAAAGCTTTAGTGTTTTATATTATATGTTTTATACTATTGATATTATTACTAAGAGATATATTTAGAAGAGAAATTCAATACTCATATAACTTAAAACAGGTCGACAATAAATTCCATCGTAAAAGAAAATTGGTAACTTTTACCGATAAGATTAAATTGACTAGATTAAGATTTCTCCGCGATTAGAAGTGGCGAACGTTAATCGAAATATCGTTCTAATTTTAATCATTTATTGTGATTATAATAAGCGCAACCTCATTATATCGTAATAAGTGACCTCAATATCTGAAGCGATTTTTAATAGAAAAATCTTTAGTTTCATTTTTTGTCTCATTAGATCATAAAGTGGCGTTTGAAAGTAACATAACGCTCAATATATTTTTTTACTTACTAATAATTTGTTTGAAAAGATAACAGTGAAAAGATTATGTATTCTTTTATTGTTTCACGTATGTTTTGTTGATAAAAGTATCGATCTAACGCAATCTGCAAGTGAGTTCTTTAGCAATAATCGGCGAACGAAAAGGTCGTGCGCCGAACCCGTGTGTTTCTGCAGCTAACAATAAAGGTTAGCGATCCTCGACGAAGACCCTGGGATACGTTTGCTCTCTGAGAGTTTTACCTTCGATTATAACGGGACTTTCAGACAGAGAGGAAGGGTCATGTTTTCGTGAGCGGCAAGTGAGGTCAATTGACTGCCACTCCAAAAAAAAAATCAGTCGAATGAGGAATTTCAAGAATTCACAATTCTATTCTGATAATATTAACGCATTAATTTGCTTTTCAAAAAATTGTTAAATTGTGCAGGAATATGATAGAGATTGCTTCGACTTAGAAAAAAATCCAACTTTTCCATTTTTTTTTTTATGATTTATGATTCCATTGTTTTCTTGCACGAGTGATACATAATGGCAATGAGGCACATGAGATAGTGAAAGGGAGACGAAAGACTATATCTTGCCTCTCATTGCCAAGATCGTTTTACCGCGTGAACGCGAACAAGCAATGGTGTGAACAGGACTTAGCGTAAGCCGAAGGTACACTTATCCAGCGCTGTTCTTTGTTGTCCCTTTCACTGCAAGTCGGCTGCGTGGGAGGATCGTCCGGGATTTCGTAGCAATTTCAACGAGGACTAGTCTTCGTAGTTCAGTCGCTATTCAAGTGTCGCACGCGAATCATTGCGATACCGCGCGTTTAACACTATTGAGATGCAGTTACTGAAATCTCGCCCTTTTAAAACGACGAAAAGTATATTGTGATACAGTGAAATAGTGGTAATTAATTCCGTACTATCAACACTAATTCATCTACAAGATAAAGTTTGTAAAATTCAATAATATCTTATCTCTTTTGACGAGATATATTTGTCATCGAATTAAATTTTTATTTTCAAGAAAAGATAAAATTAACATGAAGTTCGTACATGTGATGTCACATAAAGCGGTTTAGTACGTTTTTCGATAATTGTTAGAGTTTATTGTTTAAGATTCCATTCATACAAAGAGATAAATTTTTGTTACGATTATATCGCTATAAATACAAATCCAGAATTTTACGCGGGTTACGCTTATGTGGCATTACATGTTATAATACTTTATTTATTAAATTTTAATATATCATATTTTATAAATGTTGGATTTTGAAAAATAATGTAGGCTTGTAAAATAGAATAGAATAATATGGAAAATAAGAAATATCTTTTTGGTATTTAATTTAATATTTCTCTAATTGTATTCGCTACACTTTACATATAACATTTAAATGGAAAGAAAAATGATTTACAGCTTTCAAATGAAATTTCTTAAAATTACATTTTAATTATCACATGTCCTGCGGTGCATAAATTCACTACTCACTAGAAATTTCATTGAGGATTCACACGGTTCGTGCTAATTCGACGTGAAAATGAGAACACTCGCGCTCGCAATATAATCGCATTCTCATAATTAGTTGCATAATGTTTGCACGAGAAAAAAGTAAACAACCGATCGGCAACGACGCATTAATTCTACATTTCTATTAAGCGAGTCAGTCGTACGAATAATGTTATTCATATGAATCAATATAAACTAAATTTTGTACAAGAAGTAAAAAAGACTTTCTTTGCCTTTATTTTATTTTGAAATAAATTATTCTCTCGCATGTTGATTCTGTTATTTTAAATTTTATAATATTATTTTCTTTTTTTATTTCAATATTCATTATTTTACAAAGTATCTCAATACTGAAAAATGCAATTCCGAAACTGTCTATATATGTGTGATGATCTCATTTCGTTTTTACTTCACTCTCTTATAACAGAAATATTTATTACAATCTTGTTCTCGTGCGAACGATTCTGTTTATGCGAGACTGGCTGGATTCTGTCACGAATGAGCGATTGTTATCCACGAATTGCGCAAGATGTCTCTCTCGCAGTAAGCCGCGAGTAGCGAAATCCGCGCGCAGAGGCCAACGTGGATTTCAATTAAGACGAACGAGAAGTGGTTACGATAATTGCTCGAGCCGGCTGTTCTTCGGCTGACAGCGCGGAAGTCGGCTTCTCTTACTCTGTTAAACGTCGGCGAATTCGCGTTGTTAAACATTCCCGACTCGGTTCTGCTTCGAACTCGATTGCAGCTTACATATCTAGTATAATTGAATATCGAATGAATGACTGTAAAATCATCGCGATCGCGCATCGTGACCTGTTTGGTTTTCTACGCTCGATCGCGTACTTTTTCAACTCTATAATTTACTTTCCAATCGATCAAATTACTAGTTCACGTTGCTCTTGGCACACACACTCATGCAAAATTGATCATTATATTGCATACATAATAATCAAAATATCATTTAAGAGTAAAGTAAAAAGAGTAAGAAAATACTTAGATTTTGTTTAGGTATCGTACTTGGCATTTATTAAATTATAAAAATAAATCTCTTATTCGGCATACGATATACATTATTTTACATTCAAAATCCAACAATAGTCACAATAATAAATATTAGATTTTAATCTGTTTGAATATAATATTCATAAAATATTTTATTTCTATGATTTCTTATCAAATTTTGTAAGACAGCGATCAGCTGTTGCATTTTATTTACCACCAAATGTTTTTTAATTTGACAGTGCGAAGCAGAAAGTGAATACTTCACAAACGGTTTGGATGAAGTCTGCACTTCCGTCACATCGCGACGAAACTTTACGGAAGGGTGACTTTTTTCGAATATGAATGGAACAATGGACTCTGTGTGAATTATGCGAACAAAATTTTTCATCTCAAACTAATGTGCATCGGACACATTGTATCTAACGTAATCCTTTCTCTCGCACATTCAAGTGGTTTGCGCAGTTGAGCACGAATTACGTCATAGAATACGATGACGGAGAACGTGTACGTTATAAAGGTGAAGACGAAACCGCCGTTGTCGTCTTTGTACCCGTCGGAGCGTCGCTACTCGGCGTCGACGATCGGCGGCCTGTCCTTGGTCCACTTCGGTCTAGGAGCTCTGTCCCTCCTTCTGGGCACCTTCGCCTTGTCCCTGCAGGGCCCGATTTTGTCTGTTGCGTGTCTGGTGCCGTTCGTGACGGGTCTCCTCGCTTGGCGGCGTTGGTACATCGACCGGAACATCACCATTTTCTTCTACGGCAGCCTCTTCTCCCTGGTGGTCGCGGTCCTCTGCTTCGTCGTCACGATCCTCGACGTCGCGGCGGTTTCCGGTAGCACCGAAGGATCCCTATGGTCGCTGGAGAAGATTCTTGACGCGCCGCGTTATTCTCTTCATCCCGCTGTAGATTTAAAAAATGATACGCACGTGGACGATATTACGCCGCTCAAGAACAACTCTCTCAATGACACTGAAAATCAGGATTTTCTGAAGATCAACGAATCTAATAAGTCTTCCCACACTGAATCCAATGTATCAGATTTTCATGACGAAACCAAAATCGACGCTTACGACGATCTCAAAGCGGAAGCGTCTTTCACATTTGAGGAAAGGACGATGATATCCAGGGAAAGCTTTCAAAGTAAAGACACGACGAACATCACGCAAGGACCGACGAAAGATTTAACAAAGGAAGAGACCAAAACTTTCTGGCGCAGTCGTTACGAGAACTCGCCGCACACGAAGATGCTGTTGACTTTGAACGTCCTGGTGGCGTCTCTTCTGGAGATCTTTTGGTCGCTGCTCAGCGCGAAGATCGCGTTCCGCGGTATGATGAATCGTCTGCCGGAAAATGGCAATGTCGTCACCAGTTTGAAGACGACGAGGTTGCCGGTACAGAAGAGAAAACCGCCGGCGCCCAAGCCGGATATTTTGGATCACGATCGTCGGCTGTCGGAGAGCCTTCAGAACTTCACCACCCTGCAGAGTCTCGCCGGTTCAGGATCGCGGCTACCCTTGCCGGAATCTAGCAGAGAATTTCGGGAAAGAGTCGAGAGATTCTTGGCGAATCAGGAAACGCAAAGAGTCGTCGAAGGTGCTTGAAACTAACATTACGACTTTGTTCAACAAAGTCTTGAAATATTAGAAAAAACTTATTCTTGTCTGTCTTTCACAATATAGGATGTTCTATTGCTTAGAAACATGTTCCGACATTTCTATTGACATTAATTATTCGTAAAATTGCTAATATGATACAGTATGATGGATAATACGATAATATTGTATCGATCTCAATTTCTTACACTGTGTACCTTATTATTATAATTATTGTATTTAGTTTTTTGCGTAAATGTATATATATTTCACTTTCAATCGTAGGAAAATATACGTAGAATAATTATAATATATACTCTATTCTTAGTACACTTATTTTAGTGATCTGAAATAACAAATTTTTATTTATACGCGTGCATTACGTTGTTTGACACGAATATATCAGCGTCGCGTCCAAACGTAAAATTAATCGCAAATGTAACGTCAAACAATAAACGTCAATTATTTGCTATTATTTACTATATCAGACAGTCATATGTGTTTTCAGATGTACTTTTTTAAATCAGTTAATTAATATATGAATTGATGTTGTAAGCAAATGGGAATAATTAATGTTCTGTGAATAATTTGCAACTGAGTTCTAAATTGAGAACAACTGAATCGCTGCCAATTATTTGCAAAAGATAGTGGTTTATTTAAAGCCACTTTTTATGGGACTTATCACACATACGATCGTAGAAACAATGTACGCGCATTTCATTGAATTTCGTACAAATATGCTCGCCACCTGATTAATTAAGCGCTCTGTCTTACGGTACAAGAGATTTTACATACGCTGTGATACGAATCTCAAACATATCCCTGCTTAACAAACTGTGGCGACGACATCTGTATGAAATGTTACACTGGAAGTTTCGAGATTATCTACGAAATCTGTTATGACCTAAAAAGTGAAGCGAAGGCGCGCTTTATTTTCTAAATGATACTATCTAGGTCACTTAATTGCTGTCAGCAAAGCAATTGCTACCAGCGTTAAGAATGCGGCATCAGTTTGAACATTTTTCTTTCATATAATATTTTTAGTATTGTCAAGTATATGCTGATTACGCAAAGCTCTGACAAGATAGCATTTCGACAAATGTAAATTTTCAACTTGGAGAAACCGCGCACGTCCTATTTGCATTTTTATCGTGTCACGCGTTACCTTTCATGCATGTTGTGAAAGGGAAATTTACTGGCTCGTTACGATATATCAAACATTCTCATATTAGGCAACGTAGCTACTGGAATTTGCTAACGAAGCTGTTAACAATAACGCCCCCTTGAAACCCGCATTTCTTCCGAGTGCTTACTTGTGTGCATATATATATGTACATCCACGTTCGCCGACTTTTCTGCCCTGCGTAGATTTAAATAAATAACACAAGAAAAAGAGATATTATCTGCAGTGAGCAATTTGGAAAAATATACTGACATAAGTATTATTATTTCTATCATAGAATTTACGCAAGCAGCAGCGCGCGCGCGTGCTGCCTGCCTTGCAATGACGTTCTCTCGGCTATGATTATCGGATAATTTGCGTGACAATGTGAAGAGTAAGCGTTGATTTAAGGAAAGGCCACCATTTATCTTACGTAGTCTTCTTCGCAAAATTTATTCTTTATTCTTAATCATTGTCAAGTACATTGTTCGCTGGCGCGCCGGACTTACTATGACTCGCGGCTCACCCTTAAGGTACACTTCATTCACTTATTGTTAGACGACATTAAGCTATTGCGCTATAATTTCTACCACTCCTGGATGATAAAATATGCATTTCAGTTATATCTTGAGCCGATAACGAAAATAGACAACCGACGAGTATCCTAATCGCTAATTAATTCGATTGATTTCTCTATATTGTCCTTGGTCCACCCGAATTGTAATTCCGAAAGCGAGTGTTCGCGCCCGTAACGCTCAAAAAAGTAGTGATCCATCATTAATCACTGATAACGATGCATGCAGTCATCGAACGAAAGTCTCGCATAACATTTTTAACCGACGAAAATATTAAGTGAACGAATGAAACGTCAAACATGATACGAAATAAATTAGACTTATAAATGACACAATGAAACAATTTTTTAATTACAAAATAAAATTATTATTAAATATGTATTTTTATAACTTACGAACGTGTCATCTGATCATTTCAGAGACAACAACTATTTGCAATTACAGCTAACAACTAATTGGCAAGAATAAAATGTGTTTTTGCACATTTAAGAAATTGTCGATTGATTCATCGGCAATTAATACTCAAATACGCAAGTTTAAGAAAAAATAGCTTATTTTTATCAAATTAAAAGTAATAAATAGTACAAAATAGCAAATAAATACGAAATAAGGAAAATATCTTTTAAACATACATTTGTTCGTGTATGCATACGTTTTCGACAAACAGTTTAGCTATGAAATTAATATATTTTTCCTTCCATTCTGTCTCATTCGCTTTCATCCATTCTTTATCATCGTGGATGATCTCTTAGTTATATTTAGCACTCACACAACACACACACAGACACACAATATTTATTACTACGAGCAATACAAGCGATATCGCTTAATTAGCAAAAATACACAGAATTTGCCGCAAATATTTCGTTTTACGTATTTTCATCTAGCAGTTGATCGTGTTTTAATACGATCAGGCTGCTTTTATTACGGTTCATTAATTACGGCCATTGATGCACATCGTGATGAACGCGACCAGTTTTTGTGCACCCAGACTGTTTACCACAGATTGCATCGCTTAAGATTCTATCGAGGATTATCATAAATTATCACTTGATCGTATTCTACTCTGCAATAAATGTACGCGAATAGTACATGTATATAGATTATATTGAACCGGCAAGCTTCTTACGAAAGAAATTAATGGCAATTTATTCTCGCCGAAGTCGAGATTAGCATTTGAGTTTGGCATTATCATAGTGTTCTCTTATTACTTTTATATCACTACAGATTATCGAAGTCTGTCTCAATTTTTTATATATTTTTTTATGACGGCAGTTCGTCGTTAATTGCTTCGTGCAAATAATATAAAAATATACATTTTAATATGAAGGAATAAGAATATTGTGGCAAACAATATCCTTTCAGTACAGAAGATTTAATTAATAACTATTAAATTATTATTATTTCGTAAATACGTATTATGTTATAGCGTCATCGATGTTGTTATTACTTGAATCATTTTTAAATTACAAGATATTGTTCTTGAATTAACTTCTTTTATAATGCTCGAGGATAAAATTAATTGATGCAATATAAATTGAAACGCGCACCATCTCGAGATTTGTTCATTTCATACTGTTAATTAAATTTAGTGCGTTAAGAACTTAATTACATTTTTTAAAAACACGCGAAACGCTGTCATCTGTCATCATATTCATCATCCGACTAGGGCTTTACCTGTCAAGCTCAAACACCATCATCGTGTCCCTAACTTTCCTACTTCAACAATCAAGTAAATCTTTGAAAGATAGAACTTCCGTATTTTCAACCGCTTACTTTACTCGCTGAGAACAGCATCTTACATACGATCGATCTAAATTACGTACTCACAGACCAGAAACTATTGTCGCATTTTCTTCACTACGATCTAATTGTTTTCGTGTAACATCTTCCGGCAAGTAATCGGCGCTCGCTTTCACTAAAATCTTACAGGTCTAAGATCACACATTTACGGGCCGAACGTTATCGTCCGATTGCTGTTGCTCCCCGCTCTGCCAACCAGAGTCCAGGGTGGTCGAATCGCTCAAGCAACACTGCGGCGTTTCTTCCTCTTGGCTGTTCCTGTAGTCTCGGTAATCTCTCTCTCGCCCTCGCTCGTTCTCGTCCTCCCGGAAGTAACTGGAACTCGTCGGGCCCTCCTGCAGCTCTTCGTCATCCTTGGACGCGTAATAGGAATAACGACCCTGCTGAATAACTTCGTATTGCGCATCGGGAGCGAGGAACGGACCTCTCGCGTTTCTCGGCTCATCGCTATTCGCGTAGTTGTCGGAAGGAATCTCGCCGTGATCTGTAGGCAAGGGAAGAGGCATCCGAGATCTTTTCGACAATTGACGTTTGCCCAACCTGGTCGCCAGAAGGTCGACACCTTCCGGATGTTCCGTACCTAAAAGTTAAAAAACCAATGCTTTGAGAAACTCCGTAGAAGTAAATTAAAAATCGTAAACGCTACATCGCCGTTATAAACAAACTTGTAAGGAAACGAGACTGGATGCGTGTATAATTTTTATAGTTTAAATTGTAAAATCAAGTCCTTATAAGAAATACTCTTATGGATTGACAATGAAATTAGATTAGCGATTGTTATGAGAAACAAATCTTCTATAAGATTTGTAATAATAACAAAAATTGCATATAATGTCTCGGAATTTATTTTAAATATAATAATTAATTTGTTAAATTGGTGGATTCGGTCATATAATTCGCACGTTAAGAAATTCGCGCGTTAGTTGCAAGTATATATAGATAGTACCTTCTTTCTCTACAGCCAGATCGTAGAAGCTGCTTTCGGGTCCGCAGCACGAGGACACGTCACCGAAATATAGCTCGCTCTCGGACTGTTTCGGTCCAGGATTCGCTTCTTGCTGAAATCCTCCGTTCTCCACGCCCTTCAGAGGCTTCCTAACTCTTCTGCTTTTGATTGTCCCCTCGTTTCCGCCCTCGGGATCCGTGCTGTTAGATATCTCCTCGGCATTCTCATAATTGTCAGAAGGACGTTTGGCGGATCTCGGTCTATGATCTAGAAATATTTTTTTAAAAAATGTGGAATTTAACGTAGATTCTTTTGTGTGATATTTACTAAATTATTATAACATTAATTCGAAGTGAAGATTTAAATAAAAAAATAATTTGGCCTTTCGCAGTTTACACTCTACCTTCGTTATTTTCGAAATTATCTATCCTCTTTGCAATTCGGGCTCTTGCTTCGATCACTTGCGGCAGTCGTCTGGCAGGACTGTTCGGATCGCTGTAAGGAGGTGGCGGTCCCCATAACGGCACCGGTGTTTCCAGAACGCTGTAGGACGCGGTGCTCGGCGTGTACGGAGCATTCTGAGTATTTAAAACGGAATAAGGACCGCTCGACTGCGAACTGAGAACGCTGTAAGGGCCGGTTACGCTCTCCACGTTGGTTTCCACCGGGCGTGCCTGCGTGTGAAAGCCGTAATTCGAATCAGGACTTGGAGCTGGACCTCTCGACCTGGACCAAGGTAATCGCCATCTCCTGAAAAAAAAAAAGTAATCTATTAACTTTTCGACGTAAAGGATTTAAAAGCAACTATTGCTAACTAATTCCAAATATTTAATAAGTTTAAATTATTTTTTTATTTAATTTATTATTTAAATTAAATTTTTATTATTATTATATATTATTATATATTATTATTATTATATATTATATTTTATTATTATTTAAATTAAATTTATTATTAAAATTATTTAAATTTTATTATTTAATTTATTTAATAAGTTTTAATTTAATAATTTTAAACTGCTCTATCAAAGTAGTTGGATAAATTACTATCTTATAAAATAAAATGTCCACTTTTTTTATTCTGTATAAACTTAATCGTTTAAATAAAAATTAAGAAACTTATTTGCGATATCTCTTGACATTTTTCAAGACTTCTCTGAGACGCTTCTGTATGTGTTCTCATATTATAGAAAAATATACTGCGTTAATGAGGAGGAGATAATATCGTCTTATCGATCGTATCGTTATAAAATATACATTTTTAACGACTTCGATGGCTCGCTTACTGATTTGAACCGTGTGCTGTGCAAATACAAATTTTTTCATCTTTTTTTTTTTGGCGTGCTCGGAATTAATACCAGGAAATTTCATGGGAGACAGTATTTCAGAGAAATATCACAAAGTCTACCGCATCCTGTCTGTGTACTTTAAAACCAATCACGTGCGCGGCCGCGCATTTTATTGCCAGTTCGTGCCTCGACGGATAAAAGTAAACTTCAAAGGGTACGTCGCTCATCGTAATACATTTCCGAGACGTGGAAAACCTTTCTGTAAATGTCGGGGATCGAATGGAATGCCATTTCAATTAATGGCGTATATTAACGTATTATCCAAATACAATGTATTGCAGGCAAGAAACGCGCGGATGCATTGCCTTGTTCGCGAACTTATTTCACTTTGTTTCTTTGACGACATTCGTGCGTGAAATTTATCAGTTTTGCGCTACGATTTCGTTGTTATCGAACGTAATTGTAATCCGTTAGACATTGTATATAGCCGGATCATTGTTATTTTATTATAAATATAATTACAAAAGATACGTCGTTGATCGCAATATATTTCGCGGAAATCTTTCTGTAAATATCAAGTTGCAATATATATTTTTTCATCGTAATGTTATTATTTTGCATACCTGGACGGTGCCATATCAGGATTCGGCGTGTACAGATTTCCCGGCGTCTGAGCCCACCACGGGCTCGCGCCTCCGCAGTCGTTGCAGCATCCGCAGGCCGCGGTCGGTGCTCCCACGGTACCACCCTGGCCGTACAACGATCTGCATCTCAGCTCCAACTGCTCCCAGTACATCTTCTTCTTCTCGTGACTCAACAATTGGTATACCAGCATACACGAGAATATACAGGCCAATATACCGGCCACCGAGACACCGAAAAGAGCCCTCAGGCAGTCCGAAAGTGCGCCGTGCACCGCATCGCAGTGAGCAGTTCCCTCAAACAACACCCCGGAATCCCCTTTCGATGGCGGTGCGGCGTAACATGTACACGACCTAAATTCAAGATTAAAATCTATGAATCCTGAAGGGAACTATCTATAAATCTAAAGAAGATCTATGTATAAAAAATCTCTGTTTAAAAAAATTGAATATAAAGACATCTGTCTGTTTTCAGAAAACAATCAACATATTCTTATAATTTTTAAAAGTTGCATAATTTAAAAGTAACACTTTTGCGAAAACAATTTTAGTTACACAGCAGAGATGATAAAATTTCCATAATAATGCGAAATATTATTATTACTGCGCGTCCACTTTTGCAATGACAGGAGTCGCTCAACTTCTCTTTATGATTGTAATTTATTCCGGGATATATAAACGAAAGGGATATACGTACCTCGCGCGCGCGGTGTAAACGCACTCGCGAAGGTTCTGCAATCGGGACATGTGGATTACCGTAGTCGTGATGGTGACGAGCACGCACACCAGCGCGCACACCACTGCCACGGAACCGCAGACTTTCATCTGCAAAAGTTATAAACCCGGTTTAATAGCAGAACTGTCAGCACCGATGACGCTTCCCCGCGGGAAACGAGAAGTTTACGCGGCGAACTTACCAGAAGTCCGTATCTGTGCTTTCGCCTAGCCAACATAATTGTAAAGAGACCCATCACGATCAACTGAAACGATAAATTCGTTATTCACTTTTCTCCCATAACGTCCATGTCATTTTCAAATATCCGAGAGATACTTGAACAACGCATCAGATATTCATGCGCATTAAAAATGAAAACTTATAAAGTTTATTTTAAAAATACTTATAAATTGTATCGAAATTTATAAAAAAAAAAAAACTATATTATCTACATAACTATGTCAGCGGTATAAAGCTTCGCATTTTGAAGTTAATTTGCTCAATGCTATTACTCGATACGTCGTTTTTGCGCACAACCGTCAAGATAAGCATCAGCACGCTAAGCCGCATTTGGTAATACAACCGATCGATCTTTGTCTCTCACCATAATGCCAGGAATGTAAGACGGCACAGTCTCGAAGAGCGCTAGACTGGCCGTGTGGGCCGAAAGAATCGCGTGCACCGCCAAAAAGAGGCTGCCGACCGCCGTGCTTAACCCACCGCAGAGACAGCAAAGGACAACGTACTTCTTGCAGCATCCACCTTCGCCGGTGTGACCTGCAAAATCCACTCTTGAAATTCTAATCAATTCGATTGACATATTCTGCACGTGATCACAATACTAATATCTTGATAACGGACAAAAAGATTACGTCAAGTTAAAATTGATTTAAATTATTCAGTAAATTCACTCGTAAATTTGATGCTCGTTATTCTTTTTTTTTGAGTTTAATAAATCAGAGCATTTTTAAAACCTTCATAAACTAAGTTGAAAACATCTTCCATGTTTTTTTTTCAAATAAAAATGACTCAAATCGCTGATGCATTAAATTCTGCAGTTGATTACGCGAACTGTAAAATCAGTGATGTCAAGGCTGCTAATAATTTTAATCCCGCCGATGATTATCGAGATGTGAATAACGTGAGTTTGCGGACAATCGCTATGTTCGAGGAATTTCGCTCACGGCACGTTTCTCATTGTGGCCAGATTAGGACTACCGCTGTTGGTTCTCACGTGAGGACAATCATTCCGCTAACCGACGATCCGATACAGCTCATCTCCAACCGTGCTTGGATTTCTCCTAAGAAAAGTCGATACCCCTACAAAGACCAACATTTAAACCTTTATCACACAGTCCTTATAGATTTACGACACGATATGACGAACGGACACGACAAATGATAACGACATTGAAAAATGCATATGTACAAAAAAAGATATTTTTCGCAAAATTAATTAAAAATTAATATTAAAATTGATTGAAATTTTGTATGAAGAAAAATATTTGAAGTTAATTGATACGCTTTAACTTTTTTTTTTTAATTTTTTTTCTCCAAAAACGCTAAGCAAATAAATTTTGGTTGTATTCGTTACGTATTTCGTGATTCTCATGAAAACTGAAAAACCACCGATTGCATTTCCGTTTCTATCGCACCCGCGTTGCGGAATGCTTACAGCCGCTGCTTTTGTAACGCTCGACGCAGCTGTGTTACATTTGATGGCATCCAGGCTCGACTTCTATTGTCAAAGCTCCCTATTGAACCCCGTGCGCCGACCGTATTGGATATTCTCTCAATGAATTCTCAAGCATCAATATACCGCATAGCTTTGAAAACAATGTGCTAATACTCCCAACGTTCTCTCGGAATAAAAATTTTTTGATCGGATGCTTTGTCGATGCATAACAGATGTCAGGAGATGAAATAGAAAACTGAACCGCGAGCAATTAAATTAAATATATACGTACGCACAAATTTTTTTCACAAAAATTGAAAGTAAATTGTTTGCATTAACAATTTATATATCTTTTTTTTATCGAGAAATGTACGGGACGTGAAAAGACACGCGAAGATAAAAGTCTAAGAGTAGATTCGGAAAAGGATTCGCTATGGCTTTTTCCAAGTCCGAGATATATTTTTCGAGGTATATTTTTAAGAAATACCTCGAGCGTGATGCGTCTTCTGATCCTAATCTGCCGTTCAAAGCGGGATATAAAATTTACGGAGTGGAAATTCTCAGGATAAGGGGGAGGGGGGGGGGAGAGATGCATGGATCCTTTAAGGGAAAGTTTCTTTCAATTCAGTCCCCCTGGAGGGCAAATCCACGGTTTTTCCATGTGTCCGAGGACAATGATCGTAGAAATCGGTAACGTCACCGTCGAAACGTATATTTTATCTTATGAAATGCAGTTCGGAGATTGATGACACCTACAGCTTTTCGTCAGAGATAACAATGTACAGCCTTCGACTTCTCAGGACATTGTTACCTGCCTGCATCATATCTTAACCATCGAAAAAAGCATCGATTCGAAGTCGATCGATATAAAAGGAATAATATATTTAAAGATTGATCTTTGATTAAGATTCTCTCCTTCTGCAGAAAAAGCTATAAAACACTTTGCTTTTTGTTAATATAATGAAAAAATACAACAGAATATTTTGCAGTTACCATAGAAAGAAAGTGTAAAAGAATCGTGTGCATTTTTTAAAGTCTACACATACAAACGTGCAATCTGACTCGAGCAATTCTAGCGAAATTGGAATCATCTATTTCAGAGCGCGCAGTTAAGAATATTTCATGCGTGGCACATATAGATACGTCGATACGTCGAGAACAATTTTTACCGTGGTAATATTCGGCCTCGTAATATGGACTGGTTCCAACAATAGTCGTTCTGGAGAATTTACGATCTGGTGTTTGTCTAAGGAAATGTAGATAAAAATAAAATCCGATAATTTAGCCAGGGCTCTCGAATTGCATTCTCTATCGCGATCTCAATAAATAAAACACATACGATTAACCAACTTTTTTTCGATAAGATATAAAAGCGATTTATAGCTGTAGAAAAGAATTATTTCGAAATCGCTTTTAGCTATTTAGCATCAAAATACTTTTAAAGGATAATTTTAAATCAAGCATTCATCCAAGTTTTCTACAATCTAAATTGCACGGTGAAAATCTAACGAACGTGAAATGCGTTGAAAGAGCGAGGTGCCGTAACCTTTGACCTTGCCTTAACGGAGCATCACGCAGTCTATTAATAACGATGCACTCGAGTGCGCAAAGGCAACGCAAAAAGAAGGGGTTAATAAATAAAAGCGATAAGAATTCGCCGGCGTACCACAAGGATGCGGATAATGCGGCCTCGGGAAATGCGCGTGATTCGCCGGATGCGGCAAGTGTGAGTGCGAGTGCGCCGCCATCGGAAACGGATAGCCCTGGCTGTCCATCTCCATTTCCGTCTCGAGGCGACAACGCACTATTTGGAGCACCGGGTAGCCATCCATCTTCCTCGTGTCACCTCGCGCCCCGCTCGCAACGATCTTCAGCAATCCCGCGGATTCATTCCTACGTTTTTATCACTTGCTATCGCATAGCGGGCGCCGACGATTCTTCTTGCATTAATCAGTCAATTTCTTTCGCATTAATCTCTCTATTGGATTGAACGGTTCTGACGGCAATTGGCTAAATTGTCTAGGAATGCTATTTTATCTCATTGATTCTTCGTGGAACATGAATCGCATAAGTGAGTCTGATATTCCATTTTAAGATAATCAGAAAATTTCTTTCAAATTGATTTGATACAAAATTCTTTACAAAAATTAAAAAAAAAAGGTAACGATATAACTTACAAATAATATATGATTTAATCTTTAATATATTTTTAAGAAAATAATTTTTGCTCAATTAATTTAATTAAAAATATGTTGATTTTATTTCACTTAAGATGTAAATCATGCGGTATTTCTTATTATTCCACAAAGATTGCAAGAAAACTATTCGCACTATAAAATGTTTGATATTATGAATAACACTCAATTAACAGCAAATTACGATATAATAAGTATACTTCGCGTTGCCGTCGTTAAACTATACATGCTGCGATACTCTACACGTGTCACCATGAGATCTCGCTGCTCTCCAAGGTCACCTGTTCATCTCCGATTGGATCAACCCACTTTCACCATCAGTAAGTCTCATTAGAAGTTATTACTGACGACAGCTTCCGCATCTGATTCGTCATTCGATATCTTCGCACATTGATTCGCGAGAAATCCCATCATCGTCATATCGATCTCCGTTTATTCTTTTCGAGATGTGCAAATCCGCTCCCGTATCGACGATCGCGCACTCGAGGGAATCCGAAATCGTCGGCGGACACGTTGTAATGTGTCCCACAGGTGGCGGTTTCCGTGACGCTCGTTGAGTCGACGAGATCCAGATGATGCCTTTTTCCACGTCAGCGAGAAGACGATACTGAGCACGCGTCGCACGTAAACGCCACGCTGATAGCGACGGAGGTCGTCGTATCGCCGGCCCGTTTTCAAGTCGCTCGCATTCCCCTCGACGGGAGAATCGTCCTACTCTCGGTTGGTGCGAGCATCGACTGGTCGATATACCACCCGGATGATTCGAGCGACCCGGCGCGGTTGAGGGTTGAAATTCCGCGGGCACGCACCCTCCGAACGCGCGCGGTAGAAACCTAACGGGTGGTCGTCGATAACGCGCGTTCACGACTGATAAGACGCGGCGCGCCAACGTCGTCTCCTCCCCGTCCGGCTGATAGTGCAGTTGTTGGAATAATTGTGAAACGACCCGACATAGGATGGAGCTACCGCCCGCGAGATCGCACAGCGAATTTTCAGGTAAACGCCGCCGTCCGACCTTTCAACGCCCGCCTGACATTTCAATCTCGAATGGAAATTAAGTCACCGATATGGAGTGGATGTTAACGTCATTCATATCATAAACCGACTATTCATATCGACGCAGTCTGCACGATGAGTATTGCGCTCGTGGAAAATATGACTTTCTCCAATAGCATTAGTATTTTAATAAAATTTTCGTAACTTTTTTCCATCGTCATAAGTTCAGAGATTTTACAAAGAAGATCCAAGGAAATTAAACAATAACAAGACGCTTAATAACTGAGCTAAAAATAAATGTTTGTCAACATTTTCTTCTTCGCGAAATTAACCGTTATTTTAAATTGCACAAATAGTGCGTGCATAAAAATAAGTTACTCACATTGACTGGCAGCAGTCGCCTCGTAACGTCTCGCCGGTCTGGGCGGTGGACGTGGCGGAAGGGCAGGGGGTTGATGCGTTCTTGATGCCACCTCGACGCCTCCGTCACTTTCACCCTCGATTCCTCTATTGTTTCCGCCGGGTTGCTGCACCACGTGACATTGACATTTGTTCTTCGTGGGGGCCGAAACCTAAAACAGCGAAGTAATAACTCGAATTAGAGCGAACTGATAATTTAATAGTCAAATCTAATAACAAAAAAAATGTTTAAAATTTTTTTTCACACATTGTATAATCAATGATACGTGAATGAGTTATAATGATATCAACTCGCAATTAATATTTGTTACTTCTTCATGGATGACATTTAATGAAGATTCATGCGAAACAATCTAAATCGCGATATATATTGATTATTGAATTCTTCACATTTAACGAGTAGTTGATTAACGACTCCGAAATAATTGATAGCCTGATAATTAACTTTAACAAGGAGCAAGTATCTGTTATTATTAGCTATAAAGCTTCGAATTTTCTTTTCGATCGTCAATTATCTTACTCTTGAAAGTCAGGATTGCTGAGTTCGAGTGAAGCTGATACGAATGTTAAGTTAATTGCACGGATTTTCGATTTCAACACGAGGGCGAAGAATGCCCGATGAATTATTTCTCGTTGCACATTCGCGACGAAATTCGAACATTCCTGCAACGGGCAACCGATCATTAATCATCCATGCGCGCGCTGCATTTGGCCCTCGGCTGAAAATATTTCCTGATATAAGCTCTAAGGGCAGAACCGTTGCTTAGTACGCGATTTATAGCTTCTCGCGTGGCCAGGACACGGCGAACGTAACTCAAGCGTGCGCGGATAGAGATATGGCGATTCACGAACGTGTATTTTCTGAGATGTGGCGGCAAAAACGGCTAGGAATATACGAGCCGCTGGGCGGAACAGTGGCATAAGTCATTCTCTTCATTTGGCGAAGCTCGTGGGGAATTTATGAAAGTGCAAGATCTAATTAAATTTTTTGTAATAGTATTTTATTAAAACAGAGATTCGTGTCGTCTGGAAATAATCCTACGCGAAAACTTGACGCAAACTTGTCCGCTCCGCCGTGCAGAATCCGTCTCTGTAATTCCGCTTTGCTTACCTGGATGGCGTCGACGCCTATAAGAGACGCGTTTTTGGTGTCGTTCTGCGCGTGCGGGTGGCTGTGATTGTGAACATGACCGTGATGGTGCCCGTGATGATCCAAGCTCGAGGGCGCTCGGTCTCTCGGCCTGGTATCGGGATGACTCGAGTGCAGCGAGTGCACCGATTGTAGGTGATGATGATGATCGTGAACGTGGTCCAGCCTGCTGTGCGCTCTAGTATTGGCGTTCGACGACGAGGACTCGCACGATATTCCGGAGCTGACGTGATGATGGTTCACGCTGGAATGGCCGGTCAAACTGCCCGACGAGCTGCCGCGATGGTGATCACCCAACGGCGTCGTCGATAGGCTGCCGTTGACATTGACCACGTGCCGATGCACCGTGGGCGACCCGCCGTGGTTCATCATGCTCGAATTGGACGACGCGCCGCTCAGAGCGCCGGACGCGCCGTGATGATCGCTGGGAAACGCCGGATTCGAATGATGAGTCAAGCTAGAACCGCCGTTCAGTCGATGATGGCTGCGAGGCGAATTCACGTGATTTATCGTAGCTGCGATAGGCATCGATGGATGACGGTGTCCGGTGGGGGTGGTCGGTCTGGTTTGGTTCATGGAACTGGAACCTGGAGCAACAATATTCGATTTACTTTATCATCGTAATAACCGGCATCAATTAATACCGTCGATAATTAATATTATAACAGTTAATGCCGGGGGGGGGGGGGAGTAAAAAATACAAACCAGAGGCGCTTAGAGGAGCAGAATTTCCGTGAACATGGCTGGTGAGGCTGGTCGCCAGATTTCCATGATGATGCCCCTGCGAGTGCGTGTGATGCGTGCCGGATCCGTGATGATGAGCGACATTCGTTTTCGCATTACCGTGATGATGATGTGTGTGCTGTCGCTGGTGCTGTTGATAGCCCATCAAGTTCTCGCCGGCGTCCAGGTTCGCGCCGCCTCTAAAGTTGTCGGTGTGTTTGTGAATGTGAGCGTGCATGTCGCCGTGAAAGTGTCCGTGAACGCCGCGATCCACCGCCGCGGGCTCGTGATGGTGCTGGTAAGGATTCAGTACTTGCTGAACGTTCTTCAGCTTATCTTTACTTTGCTTCTGCGCCGACAAGCCGCCGTGCTCTTCCAGCTTGTCCAGCTCCTTGCTGGCGGTCTCGAGCAGATTCGGCCCAGCCTCCAGCAGAGGACTGGGACTCGAGGTCAGACTGTGCTGACTGTCGTGCAGACTGGAGCTTTCCTGAACCCTGCGAGCCGCTTCGAACGCGAGATTGCGCGACAAGTCCAAATTACGCGGACTGCAGGAGAGACCGTGAAGCGACAATAGCGAACTTTGGCTATTTATGGATCTAGGATTCGACATGTTTGTTTGATGTTCCAGCAGATCGACGTTCCTGGCGTTCTCCAAGTTGATCTGCGAATTGTCCTGATGCGGACTCTCCAATCTTCGTATCGGCTCGAAAGCGCTTTGCAAGGTCTCCAGGCTTCGCGGCAGATCTTGAGTGTTAGAGATCCTCGTGCTGCCCATATTTCGTTCTAATGCGCCAATTCTTTCTCGCGGTGTCCTTATGGAGTCCATGTTGCTAATTGCGGAACATTGACAAGGGTGCTGCGAATTTTCAGACACGTCCAGATCGCTGATCAATTCTGGTTGGGACATTTTAAACAAAATCTGAAAGAAAGTAATGTGCGAAAAATACGCAAATAAAATCTGTAAAGTAAATTTGCATTCTGTATATATTTGAATATTTAAATGTCGCTACAATTCGAACAATTTTCAGTGCGTTTTTCTAAAAGGTATAACATTTTTTTAAAAGGCTTATTTATTTTGATTTGTTTATACACGTGTTCATTGTTTAGCAGCTGATTTTAATTTTATATTTAATTAATCCGAAACAAGCTTCACTGCGCTTTTCGTACAATCAATGATTTCTAGTACTGTTATTTAAAAATGTTTGAAGACATATTGAGAAAAATGCAGTTTTCTGTTTTCCTGTTAGAAATAACGGAGATATTATATTGATCGGCTGGATAATAAATAAGAAAAAATGTGAAACAAAATGCTCGCTAGATGCATCTCTCAGCCGCTTTTACTTTTTATACGTCGCTCGTGGTGGCTCCCGCTGTTTCGTAATATGGAACGATTTATCAAGTGCAACGAGGCGGGACATCAAAACGAACCACTTCTCATCGCAATACGTGAAATACCGGCCATCACGCAGTCGAGAATCGCCCGCTGCATCGATTCTGATCTCGACGGCCGATGTGTCAACGCTGTGTCTGCCAATTCTTGTCTCGAACTGTCGCATATACGACAGTAATGAGCTGCACATCGAATAAAAAATACACGCTACCGCTAAATAATAATAATCGACTTTTCTGTATTTTATAATATTGTCTGTTTTATATGTGCTTCTATTAATACAGACTGAAAAAAGACCAGATTGTTTTAAAAAGATTAAAATTCTCGTAGCACATAATGCTCATTAAATATGCTACAAAAAGGTAAGCTCAAAATTTTATGTTAAATATTTTATTAATTAATTTTTATTTAATACATTAAAAATCTTTAATTTTTTAATATAAAAGCTTTATGGCGCAAAACAATATAAGAGATTGACATTAACAGCGTCGGCTTCGACAATAACAAAATAAAACGTGAATCAACTTTGAATTATGAAGAACAACGATAATCATCCCGGATGTAGAAATGTACGAAACTATAATTCATTGCCATCACTCGTCGTTACAACTTTTCTGATAACTTGAAATATAAATACTTTTAAAACGACTGAACTTTATGATTTAAAAAAAAAATGGATTTTTATGATCGAGCATTGTGTGAAGACTTCAAGAATACTGAAGCAAATTATGCGCGTTTATCTCATTAAGAATTGTCGCGGTTTTCGTAAAAGCAAATCTGAATATAAAAATATCATATTATAACTATAGATAATTGTATGTAAATATAAGAGCTTTACCGTGTGAAATTAATTACTTACAATCAAAATATTATTTTAATATTAACTCAGTTAAGTCAATTTGTAAAGCATTGAGCATATTTAAAAAAATATTAATACTTCAAGTTAAAATGGACAAAAGGATATTGCTTAGGATTAAGAGGGAAGCCTCGTGTAACCGGTTAAAAAAATTGAAAAATTTCTTTTTTTGCTTTAATCAATAGTAATCCATGTAGAAAATATATTCCCAAAGTTACAGAACAAAATTCGAAGTTTTAAGGAGTCCACAACCCATTTCTTGCGCGCAGGTATACAAACGCGCGGCGGGGCGCTTGATCAACGGTAACATAAGATATAGGATTATAGAATTTGTAACTGTTTTTGGCACGTTTTCGGAAGTACTTATTTGAGAGTGCAATTTGGAGAGTGCAAGCAAAGTGTGAAATTCGAAGAAGCAGGAAATCGGAGCCTCAGTTTTAAACTTGTTGTTACACTTTTCTTTTTTACTTTTCAATACCGAAAACTTTAAACGCGTTTTTCTCGAAACCAGTTTTTGGCAATTGGTGGGAAAGATTACTCAAAAACTATTCGATCAATCGAGTTGTCCCTGTGTATACATGTAGTTTAATAATATAAATTGTCGATGAATCTATAAAATTAGTAAAATAATTAATTTAAACAATTTTTATTGCATAAATAAGATGACATTTTGTGGGTCAAAATCGCAATTTTTTTAAAGTGGTCATTTTTTCAATTTTCAACTTTTTACTTGTTTTTTAGGTTTATCGACTAGATAATTTCATAGAAAAGAAAAAATTTTTTTGTATTTTTATTTCAAACGAATGCAAAAGACGCTACAACTCCCACCAATTCACAACTCCAGTGACGAGGCTGCGTCAACATTTGTTTATAGTGGCTCTATAATCAATTATTTTGAAACAAAAAAATTTTTTTTTACTTTTTAATATATGTTATAAAACACCAACAAGTTTTAAAAAGATCCGTTGCATTGTTTCTTCAAAAAAATTCCTAAAAATTACCTTCGTTTTAGTGATTCATACGAGACTCCCCCCTTAAAATGAACAAAAAGATATTGCTTAGGATTAAGAAGTTATTTCTTAATCTTCCATCTTCTGAGATCCACATTCTCCAAAGTTTTAAGATTTTTGAATAACAGTCAAATATATATCTCTCCATGTCCGAAGTTAATTAAATTCATGCGCGTTCTTCTTCGCAAACCTTCGCCGAAAATTAGGAGATACGCAAAGAATTTCACTTGGCAAAACCAATTATACTCCAACATCACGTCGAGCTCATTTAATATCGGGCATCTAGCTGTAAGCAGTCCGAAGTGGTCTTCGTAAGTACAACCGGTGACTCCTGCGGCCGCTCACATTCCTCGTATCTCGTTATACGAGCGCAAAGGCTCCGAAGGCCACGGTCAAGTTCGATGCCGATGGTTTGTGTGCGGTCGCTGCTAGTTTTTTCTGTCGTTCGATGATCTCGCGGCAGTCGACAAGAAGGGGAATATATCCACAACACGTAGATTTAATTTCGCTTATCCAGGAAAACACGGCTGGACGTTTGTCGCAGTCGTTTGGCAGCGGAATCACAAAGTTGCTTTTGCAAAACGCATTCCGACGCGATCTCCGAGTAATAGCAAATTTTTTACCCAAGCCGATCAATGATCGCAATCGATAAAAAAGTGACCGCAAAAAAAAAAGAAAAAAACATAAATCTGCAAGGTATAAAATTGAAGTTGATGTAATTATTGATACTTGTGATGAAATTTCGTTTTTCAAATAAAATTCTAAAAACGTTTATTGGTTTCTCTGGGAGCAATAATCAGTTATGTAAATGCAGCGAGAGTTTTGCTAGAGAGGTCGCTTTTCCCGGCGCGGTCGCAACACCGTGAGAAGAAATTGCGACCTTTTCGTCGGCGGTACGAGCCTCGTGTTTCGCACGCGCATTGCGAAATCGCGCGGCTGCACTTAAATCCTGCCTGTGCTCTGTAACGCGATCGAAATCTAACAACCGGCAGTGCTTACCTGCGAGTCGGTTTTCCTGCTGTTGGTCTCTTAATCACTGTCGCCCGACAGTGGCTCGCCTTCCGCATGCCCGGCGCGATGCAGGTACCCAATTTGCAACACAGAAGCCCTTGTTCTCTTCCCTTGTTTTCTTCGTTATTCCTTGGAAATGAGCTCCAGCTTCGAAGCGACACATTTTCGAGATACACGTGCCTCGGACACTTTTATCTACTTCACTGGTCGTTAATTGACGCCTAACGATGCACCTTGAAGCGTTGCATTGTAAGGACTTACGGCCGTTTTACGAGGAAGGGCGGGAAGGGCAGCAGACCGGTGGAACGAAACATAAGCCTCTTGAGAGAGTTCTTCGTCGACGAAGATAATGCGGAGTAATCACTTATATTTTTCCAAGGCTTAAATTGAGTTTCAATAGTCGTAATGAGAAAGCGGTAAGAAAGTCATTAAAATCGTCGCTGATATTATAAATTATCGTCATGGACTGCCGATATAAACTCACGAAGAAGCGAAAGAAGAAACCGTTAAACAATTGAAATTTATGTTTCTTCTTAGCAATGAAGTGTCTACTTTGTAATTTCCACAAAATTACTTACCGAACATAAAAGTACCGAAAGTTTCGAGATTAAAAATTCTTGAACTAATAAAAACTCGATTAACACTAATCAACGCACACTGTATTATTTGCAACATTTATATCGATATCACGACATTTCGACATGATAAAACACAAGCAAGAAATAATTACAAATAACTTCTGTTCTCATTACTGCTTTATTTCACGATTCGCACACACACACACACACGATGCCACAGCAGGTCCACGATGAAGCTGCGACTCGACGAGCTCCAAAAAAAAACAGATCAACAGAATGATAGTTCACAGTTGCAAATTTTTTCGGAAACAGAACTGCAAATTTTCGATGAAAGTTGCACGTTATATCGCAATGGCGTATAAGGCCCACGACAAGCCAGCGGAGAGGAGGCGCGGCATATAGAAGCAGGATGTCGTGAGAGACTGTTGGGGCCTTCCACCTTCACTGGCAGCCGTTCTGCCTTGGAATGTGCCTTTGCCCCCTGTTCTCCCCTCTCGAGTTGCTGGAGGGGCCTCAAGGGCTCCGACTGTTGCACGGCGTCCCTCTCTTCGCCAACATTCGTCGGTCAATTCAGTTCTTGGACCGATCGTGTAGTAAACCCACCCACGAGCCTCGAGCCTCGATAGGTAGGGTAGAACGTTTTGTTCGGCTAGAACGAACTTTCGGGATCTCATCAATTTTTTGTCGCTCATTATTAGGCACAAGCAAAAGCAATCGTTTTGGCAAATGCGTTCTTCATCGAAATCAGTCTTTAATTGCGCATGATATTCTCAATAAAATCAATTGCTGTATCAGAATAACATAATTTTTTTTATTCAAATAAAAAACAAATTTATTTATTCTTTATAAAATATTACATAAATTAATTTATTTGAATTTATTTCTTAAATAAAAATATCATATCTTCTTATTTGTAAGAATAAAATAATATTTTAAAATATATATTTAAAAATGTTTAGAATTGAAAAAAAGCGTATAATTCTGTCCCAATTATCTCATTCTCAGTCGACGAGGCTTGAATAAAGCAGGACAAAAACGAGTTGTAATGAGCGACCTGCTATGCATTCACGACGGTTTAGTTGCAGTGCCTTCGGGATGGTCGAAACGTATAATTTTCAGACAGACGTAACAAAATAGATCACATAAAATTTAATATGTATTTCGTCGTTTTTTATCGTCTAGCGACAACCTCACGAAATACTTGTTGATAATAGCGATGACTCCGACCCGTATTTTATGTAATTTTGCAAAAAGTGGTCCGCTTATTCCGTTGAAAATTCCTTCAGTTCGTTTATCGAGTGGGTCTCTTTAAAGGAGTTAACAGGCTCTCTTACCGAGCGGTAGTAATCGATTGAATCAACAACTTATTGTTTGCAGTTGATAATTTAAAAAAAATTCTGTAATACTTTTGCAAAAAGGATAACTCATTACTGTTGCAAAAATTAATCCAATTCTCTCCACTTTATCATTTTCTTTCTACGTTTCAACATAAATTACGCAAGCGCAATAAATTTTTTGCTATTTATTTGAAGAAAAGAGATTTAGAAGAAGGCTCTCGTAGGTTTTTCCGAGAGGTGTTTGACGCATCGTAATGTAACGCGAACATATGTAATCGACAACATAAAATAATATGACATGTAGAAACACGATGTAGGATAATGTAATATACTGCATCTATGCTGATAATAGAATGTTGCTCTCTTGAGACAACAGCTCGTTTTACATAAATATTCGACGCTCGAAACAATAGGATGCCATGGGTAGTATTTACCGAAATAACATGGAAGCGTAAACGTTATGGACTCATCCATACAAACAGCCGTTGAATGGGCGTTTCTCAACCAAACGTAAAGACAATGGAAGCATGATCATACGCCGAGCATGATGCCAGACTCGCTTCTATAAGCTTTTTGTACATATGCATTTTTGCATTACATATATATACGATATATGCCAATGCTTTCATCGCGTTATCAAATCAAATATACGGAAGTATACTCCGTTTAAATTGGGTCAATATACATTGTTGCGTTAATTTAAGCTATTAATGTCCCGAAGGATATCAGCGCAGCATTCAATTAGACAATTTATTGGAATTTTTATTTAAATTTTTTTTTAATTTAGCTTACAATTTATTTCGATTAAGAAATTTTGTGCAATTTAAGGAGGTATTCGTGAAAGGCGCGCGTTATAAAATGTAGACTGCAGGATACTTTTTTTCAGCAGAGCGCATTTGTGTTCTCATTGCATCTGGGAGAAAGAAAGGACTCCACGAGCACAATGGTCTGCGTAATTAAGGGTCAGAAGTTTTTAGCTTCGTTAATTACGCGAACACTTTAAATGACGCTATTATCATTCCACGAATGCTACTGGCAAAACGCTATGCGTGGTATAATTTCATTTTTTTCTTTATCAAAACATCTTTTTCACCTGGATCAATGAAAAACCTAGAGCAGCAATTTTTTTAACATGTTTATATTGGTAATCGCTATTTTTGGTTTTCGGAAAAATAAAAAGTAAATTAGATAATTGATTATTTGATTTTATTTATTTAAATATATGAACTTAAATTAAATTTCGTCCATGGTTTCTCAAGAGTTAACGTTTCTCAATAGATATCCTGGTTATTCAATACTTCCAAGAGTGAAACGGTTCGTTGCATCGGCAGCAGATGGCACCGTCGGGATATAATTGTTAATCTTGTTTTTATGTAAAACTAAATTTACGAAAATACAAAACAAAAATTCACAAAAAATGTGATATAATAAATGTGCCAATTTTCTAAATTAGCAGTAATAAATTACATAGTATATAAAACTCTGCAGAAAAAAAATTAATCATTAAAAACAATTAAAATTATTAATAAAACACACTACACAATATATTATTGCCAATAATTTTGCTTTAGAAACTTCGATTTATATATTGTTAAAATATTTAACGTCTAAAATTAAACAGAAAAAAGATCGCGACAAGCGACAGTTCCATTCAATATACACTGTGCCGAATCAATTGGTAAAAGAATCTGCAGTCTATAGCTCTTATGGCCATCACAAAAAGATTTCAAACATAAATCAACCCACGTTCAAATAAAAATTGAGAAAATCAATCTGCAGCACTATTGCTATTCCGAACGGTATCGGCAAAATCTCTGGAATCCAGTCGTCAAAAGTCGTGTAGCTAAACAAGAATCAAAGCGTGCAGTCGCGTGCGGGGCTCTCGAGCTCGTTGACCTCGCGCTAGGCCGGCCAACCGGGCATAAGTTCAGCTTCAGCCGTTTGCTCTCCGATCCTGCCGGCGTTCCTCCGCTCCCGCCTTCTCTCCTTCGACGGAGAGTTATGAGTGGGTTATAGTTTTACGAGACCAAGGCCCGACTACGATTGCCCAGCGAGAAGGGGGGGGGAGGGAAGGCTGCTACCTTCGAATTCGGACCATTAGTTCGGCACGGCAATTCGTCAAATCGGGAGAAATGTAGTATCAATAACGCACCACAGCTGCTGCCACCGAAGCATGCATTTCCCTGACGCGCAAATTGCCGGGGCCTTTTCGAACGGACGCGAGCGACAATCGTTTCCGATTTCGCCCACACTTGCTCCCCTCGCACCGCCGGCCCTTCTCTCCCTTTAACCAACCGGCACCTACTGTTTTTTATCCGACGTCGATGCTTTTCCGTGAAAGCGCGCTTTTTTCTCCCGCTCGCCAATCCGCCGATTCATCGCCGGCACGAATAACACAGTTGAACTAATGGCGGATCATCGTCACTATAAGTGGATTTAATCTTTGCTCTCTACCGTCCCCGATGAATTCTCCCTCGGTAAGGGGGATAAAAATAGAAATTTTCGTGACGCGATTACGACGTGTATATATCATCGTGGAATTTGGAGTGGAAATTGAACGAGACGCCGCACCATTTGTTACATCGCTCTATTCTATTTATCGCGTTGCACATCCCGGCGCAATCGAAACGCGCAATTCTATTATTGATATACACCTGACATTTAGCGACTCGAGAATCAAACCATGCAACACACCACGTGTCCCGTGACTCGGGACTTTTCCCGGGCTTTTCCTTCGCAACCGACCCCGTGTCAGCGTTAATTTCCGCGCGGTTTCCAGTCTCTAAACCGTATTCGACGGAGCTTCCGTGGGTGTCCGCGATGTGTGTGATGTTTGCGGATAAATCCTCGTCCCTTTTCCCGCTCCGCCCGCCGCCACCTTTCTCCACCGCCACCACCTTCTTCCTCTCCCGCCGATTCTTCTCCTTTTCCTCTCGCTTCCTCCGGCATCCCACGCTAAATAATAAATACGAGAGGGTTCTTCGGGAATACCCCGAGGGTGCCATTAACGGGGTACAGGCCCGCGCCCTCGGACTTACCCTCCCGCACACTTCGAGACCCACCCCCGTTTTTCTCTGCCCTCCTCTTCGCCTCCTTCGGCTTCTTCCATGACCCGAAACGCGAGTCTAATACACTTAGAGGCGAGACGCGC